GAAGGGGGTGATAAAATTTTATTTATAAACTACGATTCACTCACGTCCGTTTGTATTTTCTCAATATCCTCCGCATGCTTATGGACACTTTCTTCAAAAGCTCTAGCAGCTCGACCTCAGGTATTGTAGTCAATGACGAGGCTCCTCTAGCCAGTTCCAGTAGTCCATTAGATGCAACTAATAGTCCCAGCCCACAGAGCTCGTGGACTCCTGTCGCGGATAGGGGAGGCAACAGCAGAACAGTCAGCAGTGGCGTGGAGGCTGGGGCTATACCAAGCACTTCATCTGGTTCAATCTCGCCAACCTCCTTCTGGCCAACCCTCATTCGCTCTCTTTTTCTTGGTGTTCAGTCTAGCAGCTCCACTGGTGGAGTTGTAACTCAGCCGAGTCTTCTATCAATCGGCCAAACTCCTCATGGAGCTTACTCCATGGACTCATCTGCCAACTCATCGGCTACTTCGCCTTCGTCGATCCTATCCTCTGGCACCCTTCGACTACCGCGACAGCGTCCTCGTACAGATTGGGCTGACCTGATACTTATGACAGCACCTGGAGCATCAAGTGCTGTTTCTAGTGTTTATATGGGTTCTGTGTCTCCTTTGGCGTCATGCTCCGCTTATTCACGATCTCTTGGAAACAGCAAAGCGATGCTATTCGATCACACTCCGTTGCCACCAAACTGGGGTGAGAAGTCACTATTATGCAAAAACAGCAGATAGGCCATAGAACCTTGATTCGCCTTATCCTCACCATTTGACTCTATTTACATGGACTAGGATCTTTCATCTGAGTTTGACTCTTTGACTTTTATTCATATTCATTTTATACTCTTTCCGTACATGCACACAGCTCTAATTCACGTCGGAAGCGAATTTTTGATAAGATGAGACGAATATTTTAATGGCGATTTCTGAGGCTTTTCACGTTTGTCTACTGATGAATTTCTGAACCACGAAAATCATTCAACTAAGTGAGATATTTATATGAATTTAGAATGGCGAAAAGGGATTTCGTCTCTTCTTTAGTCGATTAGCTTCAGTTACCTCATGAGGCCGTGTCCCGAAATAGGATTACATTTTTGTGGATGATTTCAGGCTTAATTTATTTTATATTCTTTGTAATTTTATTCCACTCCAACTTCTAACCTAGAGTTTAACAAACTTAATATCATCGCTTTGCATTTAAAAGTGGCCTCTTCTATTCCTTGCCTGCTATTTGAATGTGAAATCTGATTCTAAGGTATTCTAATTTATATATACTTAAATAATTAGTTTATTTCCTTCATTTGCCTCTGGCCGCCAATCACGAACTCATATTTCCTTATCAAGCATGAAGTGGATTCGTTAATTTAAATTAACCGTATGGAAACAAAGATGCTGTGTCTCTGGGTTTGATTGCAGTTTCCTATAGCTAGTGAATTAGAAAATGGACAAAATATTCAATTTCGTCACTGAATTTCCGTACACCGAGGCGCATTCTAGTTTCTCTCGCATTATTATCTCCATCTTAGCTGCGTTGTGATCCTGAATTTGCAGATCAAGTGGCTTACACGTAACTTCTTTATTACATTCTTTACTTCATTTTTCACGATTCCTTATGCCTTTTTAATAGAATAAAGTAAATCTTTTAATCATTTGATAAGAAAAAAATGAAACATTTTTGGTAAGTAGACCAAGTTTATTATGGTGTTGCTAGGCTATGCTGGCATTTTTACCCATGATTAATATTTTGCCTCAATATTTGCCTTTTCAGTGCATATGACGACGTAATACTTGCCTATCTTCGCTTTATTTGTTCGTATCGTGTTAGGGGAGATCACGAGAGTAAAGCAAGATTGTGATTCATCATGGATGATAATTAACTTCTTAGATACCTCTCGTGGCAAGAAATCAAACATATTTTGTCCATGATGCAGAAAACTAAGGGGGGCTACTTAAATTTAACTCTGTTAAGTACGGGTATTAGGTTTCTTTGTATTTAATGCACTCGAAAGGGGAGGAATCGTCTAGAGGTGGTAAACGGTATTTCGGAAACGCGATTTCGATAAGTGTATTGAACAAAAAGAAACCCTTGCTACCATACCTCCAATCTGTATCAATTGAAGACCTGCCTATCAATCGGTAATGAGAAAAAGAATCTGCCATATCAGCTGCTACATCTTTTTAATAACTCCTTTATCTAAGACTGGACCTTCTTACAAACTCAGGTTCCCCTTCCACGAAAAAAAACAAGCTATTGTCCAGTTATAATGAGAGAGAATTCGGTGAAGGCTACTCTGTCCTCAAATTTGCCGCTCATTTAATCTTATCCATTAGGGTGCCACGGTCACTGTGACTTTAATCCTTAATTAGGTTGCACTCAAGTCTTCATTAATAGCTCAACATCGCTGATCTATAGGGCATACTCTGATCACTGATGCTAAGCTGGCGGGGATAGGCAAACAGAATGACTTTATCTAAATTTTCTCACCTAATGCTTGGTGAGTCGTTAGAAGAGTTTATATCCGATATAGCTGAGTTAGACACAATTAAACTCAGGTAATTTTAAGAACTCTTTAGCCTGGTGTTAAACGATGAAGTGATAATATACTGCTTCACGTTGAGATATTAGGAAATCTCGCAACCTTTGAAGAGACCTAATCATGATATTGCCTTATGTCATGCAGCTGTCTCAAGGGGTTCCGATTAACTTCCCTCCGTAAGCAACAATAAATGTTTAGAAGTTGTTTGACCTTGTTTTCGCAACTTGGTCATATTGGTAGAAGGGCTTATAGGAACGCACCTTGTCCTGAGTCCATTTTATGCATAATTATTTCCAAAGTCAGACCGTGGACGCGGTAGATTCCCAAACGTTTCGCCGGCATCGTAGTCGACACATTTTGATGGTTTTTTAGGAATAGAGACAGGATAGACGAGGCTGCGATTGGAGCTAGTTGGCTGACAGTA